ATCACACACCCATGCCTATGCTAACCCTGACACATGGAATGGGATGACAATGATTAGCCAACAACAATCTTTATTCATCCCTGAACTTGGGGAGAGGGTCATCTTCTCTGAACAAAGGACTATAGTAGATGAACATCCAAACAAAACTGGGGCTTTCTCAGCAATGAAAAATATGAAAGGGAAAAGGTATTGGATAATCAACAGTGTTTACCTCACTAACAGATATATTCATTTTCTGTAAAAGTGTGTGTGTGCGCGTGTGTGTGTGTGTGTGTGTGTTCATAGAAAATATCAGGAAGGGTACATATCAATCTGTTAACAGGTTTAAAATTTGAAATGGGACTCTATGGGGGTGGTATATCTTTACTTTTGGATATCTTTACAGATTCTTTACTTTTTACTTATAAAATTTTTATGAGTTTATATTACTCTGGTCATTTAAATTTAAAGGGCTGCTTCAATCTTAAAATGAGCTCCTCAGAAATGAAATTAGGATTTTATTTTTTTAAAGATTTTATTTATTTATTTGACAGAGAGATACAGAGAGAGCACAAGTAGGCAGAGCAGCAGACAGAGGGAGAGGGAGAAGCAGGCTCCTCGCTGAGCAGGGAGCCCGACCAGACTCTGGGATCATGACCTGAGCCGAAGGCAGACGCCCAACTGAGCCACCCAGGTACCCCTAAAATTAGGATTTTAAAAAAAGTCAGAGAAGCATATGTTGACAGATCCCATTCCAAGCCCTGGCCCTTAATACCATCACTGAGGTGCCACTGGCAGGTTTATCCCTACTGGGAATTTGGAGGCACAAGGCTATCAGAGCCTGATGCCATCAAATATTTAAACCATCCACTGCCTCCCCTTACACTCTCAAAGCAGCCTTCACATCATAAATTGGCTTCCTGTGCACATTTTCCTACAAGGGAAGAATTTGCTGGACATGGCAATTTGAGAATTCTGGCTCCCTTGGCAGTTCCATTTCTCATTGTGTATTAATTCATCGGTTCTTTGGCTCAGATAGCAGGATCGGAGCTGAGTTAGTTATGATCTACTTTCCAACCCTCCAACACATAGGTTCTTTCTTAATACTGTTAAAGTCAAGTTTATGATCCTGGACAATGATTAATTCACCAAGGTTAAGTGTCACCTCTGAGGCCACTTGGCAGCTGGCCAGCTAGCCTGCCCTCATGACACTCCTGTCTCTTCAAGCACATTTCTTTCAGGCTCTTGTGCTTTCTAGCCACATTCATCTCAATAGACTGTCTCCTTTATCCTTCATTATGTCTTTTCCTCTATGACTGTCTCCCTAATTCTATCTCTCTCTCCTCCTATCTCACCACCTAACCTTCCTTTATCCTTTCCTTTTTTCTTTCTGTTTTTCACCTTAATTAACCATGAGGTTGAATAACAAAATATACCAGAACTATGTGCCAAATGCAATGTGCTGGGCCATACAAATAAATTATATTGTGACTTCACAATAACTCTGAAATGTTTTCATTCTTATTTCACAGAGGAGAAAGTAGAGTATCATAAAGTCTAAGTGGTTGTGTTTGATAATGAAACACTGCTGCTTAATTTTCAAAGTCAATAAATTAAATGTTTTATATTTCCTTTATCTTAGAAAAATACAATTCAAACATTTGTATATAACCTCCATCTTATTTTTGCCTGTGAGATTATTGTCCTAGAAAATAATTCACCTTGGGTGTGTTTGTTTTTTTCTTGAGTAGGAGATAGAATGAAGAGGAAAGAGACAAATTGGAAATGTCCCTTTGAGAAGTAGGGCTCACCAGTGCTCTTTTCTCCCTCCTTGTCCTCTTTGCTGAAGACAGGGCTTGACCCTGATATCTCTGAAGCAATCTTAATCTTCTCCATGGAGGAGAGGGCCTTCTCTATCCAGCCAGGATGAGTGTACTTTCTGGATTTGTGCAAAAGGAAGAGGTAAAATGTTCAGCCCCTAAATTTGTAACTTTCAATAACTTGGAGATGGAGGTTGCAGTAAAGTTGGATCTGCTCCTCGGAAGATTACTTCTAATTATTTGGATGTTGAATTAAGCTGCTCAACTCCAGCAGGTGTTCTCCCCATCATTCTGTAGATAGTGAGGTAGAAGAAGAGAGAAGGATCTTTTCTATACTACCTCATATTGGGTTTGGGAGGAGCAGAAGAGAAAACAGGAGTTTCCAGATGGGTTCCAGGCCCCTCCACTCCTACTCCATGGAGTAAAGCTGCTTGTCTTCTGGATGCTCAAATCGCTGGATCTGGGTTATAGGCTGGAGGAATACCCAGCAAGCCCTGGACTGAGGACTGGAGCGAGGCAGCGGAGATGTCCCAGGTCCGGTTGAAAATGGAGGGTCCAGACTTTAGTGGGTTCAGCACCGAGGACAGAAAATTTAAAAGGCTGAAGCTGGCCTTCGGGCTCAAAGTCTCACAGTTCAACCCCGCGCCAGAACCCCACCCCCACCTGACTCCCGCGCTCGCTATTCCAGGAAAGGATCTAACCTAGCCCTTGGTTGACTGGACCCCAGCACTTAAAGTTCACCGTAAGCCATGGCTTAGTTTCCTTCTAAGGCCCTTTTGAGTATCTTCACTTAGGTGTCTATTCCGCAGTCACCTAGTAGAGTGGAGTCCGCCTTGGAGTAACTCGTAAGGTCTTGCTGATTTGCATACATCCTCATACACTGAGGCTTCAACGTTCTGGTTTTATTATAAATGAATTGTTCAGAGGAAGAAAGAAAAGAATTGTTTCAATTCTTTTCCTCTTTTTTCCAATTCTTCTTTCCCCCATTGCTAGGGTCTCAATCTGGCAATTTCCCCAAGGCCCAAGGAGCTTGCCCGTATGTGTGGTGGTGATGGAGGGGGGGCGGGGACCAGACTCCCGACAGCCAGGGGTTTGTTGGGGCATCCTATATGGCTTTCCCCAGATAATTTCCCCCATATGCTTGGCTCCTGAAAGATCCTTTCGAGCTCACAAGGAGTTTGCATTTTGTGTTAGCACATAAGGGTCAGAACTTCTGGGTTGAAGTGTCTGGAGCTCAGGTAAGAAGCCATGACTGGCACCTTAAGACTTGCATAGGGGACGGGACCCGGATTTGAAGAGAAGGGTGAGAGGTAGTGGAGTGAGGACTCATTTTGAAATGAAAGGAGTCCTGGGTCTCTAAGCAGCTTCTAAAAATACCAACTCCCGACGCTGGGGGTGGAGGGGGAAGGGAAAATCGAGCGTGAGAAGAATGAGGATGGAAAGAGGTGGGGGTGTAAGAGCCCTTCTCCAGGTAGATCTGATTTCAAAGACCCCGCCTGTATCCAAGGACCTGCCGGGCGCCACACCTCCTTCTGCTTCATCTCCGGCGGTGTCCGAGCCCCAGCCCCTCCTGATGACCTTTCTTTCTACCGGCAAAGGAGTCCAACTCCTCCCAGCCACTCTTATTGCTGCTGTCCAGCAAGTATGTCTGTGAGCGAGCAAGTGTGCGTATACACATACTGGACGTGTGTACACACACACACACACAGACACAGAAATGACACATGAAAGCGGCTTGTAAGTGACCAGTATTATACGACATCACGAATTTTCATTATTCTCGGTGCTCAAGGAGGTATGGACTGTGGCAGAGACAGAGATTCACCCAGATATTTTCAGCACAGAGCATGGCACTCGGGGAGGGTTGGTTGGAAGGCTAAAGAACACAGATATACAAAACGCACAGTCAAGCCACGCAGGTCATGTAGACACAGGACTCATTCATTTTCAAGGGTTCTCCAGCTACTTTAGCGTCCAAAAGCAGAGGAGTTGGGTCCCCCAAGAAAAGAGCCCTGAAAAGCTACAAGGTGGGTGGAGCTTTGCCTGCTCAAGTTCAGCCCAGATGGTGGCGCTCAATAGCCGCCTCCCTCGTCCTGGAGGGCTTCAGCCCTTCCCACCACCAACGCCTTAAACCCTCAGCTTGCACATAAATGACCTTCACTAGATAGAGGTCGTGTTCCACGTTTCCTTGCAGCTTCTCCAGCGCTGGTTGAACTCTGTGAGAATTGGTCCGCCTCTCTCGCAGACGCCTCGGAGTCCCCGCCGCTGAGCTCCTCACCAGTCCCCTGGGATGGGCGGAGACGGATTATCAAAGGGGGGAACTCCAGGATCTGAGCAGACCGGGGAAAAGGGTAGTTGTGCAGAATGCTGCCTGTGTCCTGGCAGCAAGAGCAAGAACCCGAAGAACCAATCGTTCATGCAAAATCTACTACCAACCCCATCCTGGCGTCCACATGTTTTCCCAATCTCGGAAGCGTTGCTGATAGGGTGGGACTCCGTCTCCCACTTTGCTCTCCCTTCTCGAGTAGCTCCCAGGGTTGGGCTTAGCCCCTTCCTTCCTCCAGCCGGTGTGTGTGTGTGTGTGTGTGTGTGTGTTTTGTGTGAGGGGGGCGGGGAGAGAAGGGGGCAGGATCCAGCCAGGAGACGCCAGGAGACGCAGACATAGGAAGAAACCAAGTGCTGGGAGATAGAGCTCCCCAGAGCTTGGGGTCAGGACGTCAGGCTTCAAAACCCCTTGCAAGTCCTGGGAACAAGGGAGCTTCCCGGCTAGCTCAGAGGCTGCAAGTGTCGCTGCCTCCCGAGGGTCACCCCTCCTTAAGCCACGCCCACGTGTCTACTTCTCGGGAATGAGAGGCTAAGGTTTTGCGCTCTGGGCCATCGTCGACGGCTCATCCTCCTCCCCAGGAGCCACGCCAGCGCTCAGCGCTGCCCCACCCCCACGTTTGGAGATTGGCGGGACCCCTTCCTTCTCCCCTCCATTTCGCTGTTCCGCCCCTGGCCTATGAAACTCCACCCCTCCACCTTCTGCTGGCGAGGATTGGTGGACCTCCCGCGGCGGTGCCTAGTGATTGGTTCCCATGGATGACGGTAACCAGCGAGATCCCGCCCCCAGCAGGCGCTAGGGTCTGGGGGCACTGCTCAGCGGTGCTGGGGCTGGCGCGGCTTGAGCCGCCGCCGCACTGACTGCGCGGTCTGCGGACCATGGAGACCGGCGCCGGCCCACATCCGCTGCGCCTGTTGGTCTGCCTGATGCCGCTCTGTCTGGCGTTGCTTTTGGGACCAGGGAGGCCCGGGACCGCCGAGGAAGGTGAGGAGACTGGTGGCTGTTCTTGGAGCCGGGATGCCAGAAGATAAGGGGCTGGAGAACTGGGGTTCTGAGGAAAGGAGTCGTATAGAGAGACTGGAGTCTGTACTGGGGTTTGAAGCCAGCGGGCAGCGGGAAGCAAAGAACTAAAGAGACAGAGAAAAAGGTAGCTAAGCAATGGGAAAGAGAGGGGCATTGAGGAGATCGGGCTGGAGACCTGGGAGGCTGGGGAAGAAAGAGCCCAGGAACCGTGGGAGCCAGAGGCAGCGGTTCAGGGGCCAGTGAGACGGACAGGCTGAGCGATTGGAGGGGAGAGGTGTGGGGGTGGGGAGATGAAGAGAGCAGAGGAGACAGGGAGGTGCGGAGGTGAGATCGAAGTACGGGACGACGGGACAGAGCCCGAACCGCGAGGCAGGAGGTGGAGCGCTGGTCGGGAAGGGGTGGCTGCGGCCGAGAGCAGCCCGACGTGCTGGCGAGGGAGCTGTCCGCAGTGCTGAATTCGGAGCGTAGCCTACCCGACGCGGTCCGCGTTGCTGGGCTTGGGGCTGCCTGAGGTACCAGAGCCCGCGTCTTGCGTCTGATTCTGGATTTGGGGGAGCTGCACACTCATCTGAATCCAGAGGCGTCATATCCAGGTGCAGAATCCCGAGGAGCTGGAATCTGAATCGCTGACCGGGGGGTTGGGGCGCCGGATCTCTGAGGCTTTCCAATATGCTATTCCGAAGTGCTGTCAGTTATACCAAAATCGGGAAGCTGTCTGTGGTCCTGCTTACAGTCGCCCATACCTCTGGAGCCAACCCTCTTAGAGACCCTTACCTTGGAGCCCCGCCCCCTTGTTTAAGCTCCAGCTTTGTAATCTTCCAAGACTTCAGGATAGCCTGGGCTCCTGGCTCTGAGCTGCTGCTGTGCTGTCCAGACCAGTGCTTCTTTGGGATTGATACTAATAGCAGAGGAGAGAAGAGATTTTTATTTCTCCTGCTGCTGCTGGCAGAGTCTCTCCACTCATTTTTCCCAGAGCCCCTGGGAGTCAAACTGAAAAGGTTCAAGTCTCTTCCATCCCTGGTGACTTCAGAACTCAGAAGAGCCCCTGAGTATGAGTGAATTCAGGATGTATGCAGAAATCCTCTAATATGCTCATGTTCTCCCTCTTCTGGACACTCAGCTATAATTTAGGGAGCCCAGGGAGGCGGGAGGGGGGCTCACTGACACCTCCCTCTCATCTTAGAGCCAGTCTTAGAGTACTTCCATGAACTCTGTGGCAGGCTAAATAATGACTCTCCAAATATGTCCACATCCTAATCCCCAGAACCTGTGAATGTTATTCTAAATGGCAAAAGACTTTGCAGATGTGGGTAGGGATCCTGAGATGGAGAGGTTATCCTGGATTATTTGGATAGCCTCGATGTAATCACAATGGTTCCTGTAAGAGGGATGCAGGCGGAGTCAGAGCCCGAGGAGAAAGCACCTTGATCACAGAAGGAGATTGGAGAGAAGCACTTTGAAGATGGAGGAGGGGGCCACAAGCCAAGGAATCTAGGTGGCCACAAGAAGCTGAAAAATTCGAGTGGAAATGGAACCTCTGAACCTACAGATGGAGCCAGTCCTGCTGACACCCCGACTTCAGACCAATGAAGCTGATTTCCAACTTCTGACCTCCAGAACTGTAAAAGAATAAGTTACTGTTATTTGAAGCCGTGGAGTTTGTGATAATTTGTTATAGCAGCTACAGGAAACTTATACAGGCTCCTTCCCTAATCGTTGTGGCTACCTCTTTCTGGACTTGAGCTACTCACACCCCACCCCCTCATGGTAAGGTATGGAGTGGGAAAAATTTGTCTCTGTCCCCTCAGCAAATTTACAGTGAACTCACAAAAGGTTCCCTCCCACCTTCCTGACCTTCCGGTTTTCTGACATCTCTGTTCTTCCTTCTCCCTAGTCATCCTCCTGGATTCCAAAGCCTCCCAGGCTGAGCTGGGCTGGACTGCACTGCCAAGTAATGGGGTAAGTGTAACCTTTCCCTCCCTGTCCCAGGAATCTTCTGGTGGTCTGGGATTCAAATCCTTTAGCTCCTTGTGGTTACAGCAGCATAAAATGCTCCTCAGAGCACGTGGTCTCCAGGAGCACTGGCTTCAAGCCAGAGTGGCCTATTAGAAAACGTTGAGTCTTCAGTCAGTCCAAGAAGAAAAGAAAAGGGGGGCAAAAAAAGATAGTGAGGGGGAAACTGGCAAAATATACGCGTCATCTAGATGAGCCAATGCTGGACAATGCCTTGCACGTAGTAGATCCTCTAAGCAGTGTTGTTGATTGATGGATTGACAGAACAAGCAAGATTTAAAATCCTAAAAGAGGCTTGGAAACTAGGGGTGGGGGTGGGAGATGTGGCTGTGTGACTGAAGCCTGGTCACTGAGTGGGCACCTGGTGGGGAGCCAGGAGACTACAGGCACCATTCCCAGTTCTGCTGCTAACTCGACGTTCATATCCAGTCAAATCACTCTCTCTCTCTCTGGAGCCTCAGTTTCCCCACCTATAAAATTATGGATTGGGCTCCGTTGCGTCTCTCCAACGTCTCTCCCAGCTCTGCATCTTTTATAATTTCAGGGGCCGGAGGTGGGGGGAGAGAGAATGCGTGATGATGGGGAAGGGGGTTTTCGTCACCGTCAGGGCTCGACCTCCTGGGGGCGCCTTGGCTCTGAGCTTCCCACATCTTTGTTCTCCTCCCCAGTGGGAGGAGATCAGCGGCGTGGACGAGCATGACCGTCCCATCCGCACATATCAGGTGTGCAACGTGCTGGAGCCCAACCAGGACAACTGGTTGCAAACTGGCTGGATCAGCCGTGGCCGCGGGCAGCGCATCTTCGTGGAGCTGCAGTTCACGCTGCGCGACTGCAGCAGCATCCCGGGCGCCGCCGGCACCTGCAAGGAGACTTTCAACGTCTACTACCTGGAAACAGAGGCTGACCTGGGCCGCGGGCGTCCCCGCCCCGGTGGCAGCCGGCCCCGCAAGATCGATACAATCGCGGCGGATGAGAGCTTCACGCAGGGCGACCTGGGCGAGCGCAAGATGAAGCTGAACACCGAGGTGCGCGAGATCGGTCCGCTCAGCCGGCGGGGTTTCCACCTGGCCTTTCAGGACGTGGGCGCATGCGTGGCGCTGGTGTCCGTGCGCGTCTACTACCGGCAGTGCCGCGCCACGGTGAGGGGCCTGGCGGCGTTCCCAGCCACCGCAGCCGAGAGCGCCTTCTCCACGCTGGTGGAGGTGACCGGGACGTGCGTGGCGCACTCAGAGGGGGAGCCCGGCAGCCCTCCGCGCATGCACTGTGGCGCCGACGGTGAGTGGCTGGTGCCCGTGGGCCGCTGCAGCTGCAGTGCGGGATTCCAGGAACGTGGTGGCATCTGCGAAGGTATTCCGCGGACGAGGGCGCGTGGCGTGGGAGCGTAGCGCGCAGGTGGCAGGGGGGAGAGAGCGTGCGGTAGATGAAAGGGGCAGGAGGGGGAGTGGAGAAGCTGTGGGCTGTGGAGCGCAGAGTCCTGACCCTCTGTGGAGCTTTCCAGCGAGTCCGGCCAGGACCGTTGAGGGAAGTTACTGGGAGGTGAATTTGACTTCGTATAAGGGGGCATAGGGGCTTGTATTTCAGGCACTATGATCAGCACCTCACAAAAGACGTCTCCTTTATTCTCGGCAATAAAGTAAGTCGCCAGTATCCCTATGTCGCAGTTGAGGAAACGGAGGCTCAGAGGGATTAACATCTCACTTGCAAAGTTAGTAAATGGGGAACCAGGATTTGAATCCAGATTTGTCCAACGGTCAAGTTCTTTCTATTACATCATGCTGCCTCCCTTAGGCATAAGGAAGAATGGTACCGCAACCCACCTCTACTAGCTAATGGATTGTTTACATTATAAAGAGTGAGCACCCTTTCACTGATGATATGCAAATCAGAGGCTGGCAGGGGGATTTTCTTGAGCTGGAGAGAGAGAGATCGGGAGGTTGCCCTAGATGACTACTAACATCCCACCCAGCTCTCTGATCTATGAATCACTGTGCCCCCTGAGGGAGACCCTTCATGTGCGGGTCCTGTTGGGTTCTCAGGTCTGTGTGGGCACCAGGACCAGACCTCTCCTTTTCTCCCCGACCTGTGGCTCTGAGGACTGAGGGTAAGGATGGGGTATGGATGTGTGCCCTTAATGTAGAAAGATCAAGTGATGCTTCTTCTAAGCCACAACCTCTTTTGGATGCCGGACAACAGAAATGAGTCAGGCATAGTCTCAACTCTTCAGAAGCTCTACAGATGAAAAATGTAAAAATTTAAAAATCACAAGGTGATATATGATCTAACAGAGGGATTAATATAGTAGTGGGAAGACAGAGGAAGAAATGACTAAACTTACTCTCTTTCCTTTGTTCAATCGTCCATTCAATATGAACTGAGAACTTACCAAATGCATTTAGGAGGGTTCATTATATGTATTTAGATGATGTCATCATCTCTTTCCCCAGGGGGATCTTGTGGATTAGTAAGGGACTTGGAGGCATGAACCTTCCTGAACTCTCTAAGTAGGGTTAGGATCCACTTCTGCTCTCCAGTACACATGGCAACCTCCACTTCTTGCTTTTTTTTCAAATTGAAGTGTAGTTGACTGCAACCTTGATTTCTGCACTCACCCCATGGTATGCAGTGATCTACTTATTTTTTTTTTTAAGATTTTATTTATTCACTTGAGACACAGAGATACAGAGACAGAGAGAGAGCATGAGCAGGGAGAGAGGCAGAGGGAGAGGGAGAAGCAGGCTCCTCGCTGAGCCAGGAGCCCGACGTGGGGCTCCATCCCAGGACCCCTGGATCATGACCTGAGCCGGAGGCAGACGCTTAACCGACTGAGCCACTCAGGCGCCCCTGCAGTGATCTACTTATGTGTGTTTCCACCACCGGACTAGGAACTGACCTCAGGCAATGGCTGCATCAGTCTCAGCAGCCTCAGTGTCCATAACAGTATGTGGTAGGTGCTCAGTGGAAATGTACTGGGTGAAGGAGTGGTTACCATAGCATGTGATACATATCAACAGAGAGTTGAGGAAGCCTGGCAAAGGGAGAAGCCAATTCTAAGGGTGGAGAAAGATGGTGAGAAGGCCTTTCTTCCAGGCCGCTAAAAGCATTCTCAGTTGAGAGACTGTCTGCAGAAACATGGAGGCATGTTTGGGGCTAGGAGCAGAGGGCATTTGGGGGTGTGAGAGGTGATGGGGCTGGAGAGGGGCAGAAATAAATCATGAAGGGCCTTGAACATTAGAATAAAGAGCTTAGACTATGCTGTAGACCGATGTGGAGGATTTGAAGCAGGGATCTGACATGTTCAGATTTATATTTTCACAAGATCACTTGTGCTGTAATTACGAAGAAATGATTGGGGGAAGGAAGGATTAAAGGCCAGAAAAAGATGGCACAGTGGTCCAGAAGAAAGAGCAGAAGGTCTGAACTGAGGCAGTAGTAGCAGAGATCATTGAGACAGGAGGATGGATGGGATAATGAGACACATCCACAGCACTTGGTGACCATGTGACATGGAAGGAGGGAAGAGTCCTTTTTGATTTGTATGCTTCTAGAGGATTGAATGGACAGAGGATCATTCACTGGGGTAGAGAACACGGGACACTGGTGGACATCAAATTTATGGTGTCTGTGGTGCGTTCAAGTGGAGGTAGCTAGAAAGTGAGTCTGGAGCTCAGCAACACAGACATAGGTGCTATTTGGAGCCATGGGTATGGTTGGGACAGACCAAGGTGAGGTAAGAAGCAAGAGGGCCAATGATGGAGTCTCACACAACAGCAGTATTTAAGGGGGCATACATAGAAGAATTGAAGCCCAAAAAGAAGGACTTTGAGGAAGAATCAGTGGTTAGAGGAGATCCAGAAGAGCATGATTTCATGGCAGCCCGGGGAGACGGAGGGGTCCTGGAAGGAACAGCTTAGAGTGTTGGCAAGCACTCAGGTTAGGAGAGGTTTGGACAGTGTCTGCTTGGTGGCCCAGGCAAGAGCAATGGAGAGAGAGAGTGATGGGGAGAGAGAGAGAGACCAGGCTGCAGTAGGTTGGGGGATGGAGGAAGATGTGGAGCTAGAGTCAGGGAATATACATAACTCCTGGAAGGCTGGATTTGAAAGGCGAGGGGAGGGGGTGGTATCTTAAAGAGGACACTGGGTTGAGAGAAGATTTTGACTGTAGACAGGGGCCTTGTTTATCTGCTGAGGAAGGAGCCAGTGGGGTACCAAGTGGGGCGTGGTGGGAGCAGTCTGCCCCAGGGGGATGTATTTTATTACTGACATTGTTTAGAATTGCTGATGCTTGTTGCTAATAAAGATCAGGCCATGTTTTAGCCAGTTTTATTGTTTTTTTAAATATATTTCTTTTTATTTATTTATTTGAGAGAGAGAGTGAGCAAGAGAGAGAGTGCACAAGCAGGGGGAGGGGCAGAGGGAGAGGGACAAGCAGACTCCCCACTGAGCAGGGAGCCCTATGATTCGGGGCTCGATCCCAGGACCCCGGGATCATGACCTGAGCCGAAGGCAGATGCTTAGCCAACTGAGCCACCCAGGTGCCCCAGTTTTATTGTTTTTTAATACTCTATAGATAATGCCCTTATTATCTGCACCCTAAATGGACCACTTTTACTGCTCCACTCCCTTGTTCTGTCACTAGGAAGACCTGGTAGAGAAGGAGTGATGTAAGAATTAGGAGCCATGTGACTGATGGAATATAGTCTGGGAGGAGGAGAAGGAGCTGGACCCAGAGTGGAGGAGGAGGGGCTGGAGGCCTTCAACAGGAGGTGGCCCATCCCCTCCTCTGGGCCTGGAAGGAAGGAGGAGAGGGAAGGTGGGTGTAGATGGAGGTTTGTGGGTTTGATGGCCAGACCTTGAGGGAATTACCATCTGACAGCCTCTCTTCTCCCTGTGAGGTGGGTGAGAGGAGAGCATCTGGGCCAATGGACAGTGGGATCCTGGTCTGTTTTATGTACTCTATCTCCAGAGCCTCGCTCCAGAGCACCTGGTTCACAGTAGGTGCTAAAAAAAAATCATCCAATGAATGGATCCGGGTCTGGAGGAGGGGGCTTGGATACACATTGTGGGCAATCATGCAATCACATACACACACACACACACACACTCTCAGGAACCCAGTCCCGCTTCTGACTTAAGCTGAGACTAGACAAAAGCCACTTATAATGGTGTCAGCTGTGTCTTGAAGCGTAGGGAGCTGGGGACAATGCCAGGGAGAGCTTCACAAGGGAGGTATTAATTTGAACTGGGGTCTGGAGAAATGTAGCAGTTTGCCAGGAGAAAGGGGAGCAAAATGTTATAGGACAAGAGCCAGAGGTGTGAAAGGGTTTAGTGTGGCATGGGTGGGGTGGTGGTGGGTTTTTGTTTGTTTGTTTGTTTTTAAAGATTTTTTATTTATTTATCTGAGAGAGAGAATGGGAGACAGAGAGCATGAGAGGGGGAGGATCAGAGGGAGAAGCAGACTCCCCGCTGAGCAGGGAGCCCGATGTGGGACTCGATGTGGGACTCAATGTGGGACTCAATGTGGGACTCAATGTGGGACTCAATGTGGGACTCGATCCCGGGACTCCAGGATCATGACCTGAGCCAAAGGCAATTGCTTAACCAACTGAGCCGCCCAGGCGCCCCCGGTGGTGGGTTTTAAGAAGGGAAGTGAGATGGTCAGATTTGTGTTTAGACAGTGAAGGCCTGCCAGTGCCTTCTACAGCTAAGTACAGAGCCCTATCTAAAGTAGACGCATGTGGAGGGGATAGAACAAAGGTGTTCTCCCTTTTGTTTCTCTCTTTTATTTACCCTCTCCCAGCCACTGGAGGAATTAAAGACTGGGGGCTTCCCTGGGGAGGTGGGGTGGGGAATCAGGGTGTACAACATGTGTCTTCAAATCTCTATAGGACTGCCCTGGAGCAGAGTGACCCAAGCAGATATGCTAAGTCTCCACGGGGACACAGAGGCCCTGACACAGGGTGGCATGAGGGGGGGATTACAGACAGGGGGGCTAATTTGGACTCAACATAAGGAAGCCCCTTCTCACTGCTAGTGCCATTCAGCAGAGGCACAGAAGAAGGTGGGCTCCCCATTTCTGAGCAAAGACTGTGGCTCCTGCTAGGAAAGCTGCTGGAGGACCAGGCCAGTGGAGTTGAACTAGGTGATCTCTGACACTTGACTCTGACCTTGAGGAAGAGGGGGAGGGGCCGGGAGTCAGGAGGCTTCATGAGTCTGCCCCTCAACACAAACCTCTTCTAAACGGAGCCTGTCAAAGTAGAGATAACCACTGCTGTCTCTGCTGGGACACACATCTCTGGGACCGCAGATGTCCACAAACACGCAGAGAAAGGGAGCCCCTGGTCCTTTTTTCCAACCGCTGTGAGACCCTGCAAACAGATCCCGGCTCTGACTTCACAGCGGAGGTTGGCAGACCATGGTTTTATCTCCACCTGACTGATGGTTTCTTTTCTTTTTTTTTTTTTAACGATTTTATTTATTTATTTGACAGAGAGAGACACAGCGAGAGAGGGAACACAAGCAGGGGGAGTGGGAGAGGGAGACGCAGGCTTCCTGCAGAGCGGAGAGCCCGACGCGGGGCTCAATCCCAGGACCCCGGGATCATGACCTGAGCCGAAGGCAGACGCTTAACGACTGAGCCACCCAGGCACCCCTGACTGATGGTTTCTTGAGGCCAGAGAGGCGTAGGGAGTGGCGGGGCGAACAGGGGAACCCAGGCCACCTGAGTCCCAGTGGGAGCTGCTATTGCCCACCAGACCACCTTGTTAGTGAGTCCCATGCTCTGTTCTGAAGGCAGATAGTTCCAAAGCCCCTGGGCTTCAGAGACCCCGCCCAAAGCTGTGCTGCCCAAGGACTCAGCAAGATGGAACCTCCCAAGCCTAAAGGCTTCCAGATCGAAACCCTCAGCCTACTCCCTTCTTCCTCAAACGGCCGAACATTCTTCCTGAGGGCTTGTCTGCATCCCCTCTGTTGTATAGTGTCTTCTTGGGGCTGGAGAGCCGCCAGCCTTCCAGAACCAGCTAAACTAGAAAGGCCAGCTGGGTGGGGGCAGGGAACAATGTGAGAGTCACCCAAACTCCCAGAGGAAGGGCCAGGAGCCACGGCCTCCCTCCCGCCTGGCCCAGCTGGTGAGAAAATTTTTCAAGTGGGTGTTTAGCAGTTTCCACTTTAGGCCTGTGATGGAGGAACAGTAATTACGACCACTGTAGTGTGCATGTTGTCTGCACTGGGCTAAGCAGCTTACACTTCATCTCAGCTAGTCCCCCACCAACATGTTTGAGGTGGGTATTCTATGCAAGGCTCAGAGAGGTCAAGCAATCTGCCTGAGGCCACCAGCAACTAAGCAGTACAACTCAGCTGCAAACCCAGGTTGTCCAGATACAAAAGCCTGTGCTCTTAACAACCCATGTCCTGGGTGAGGCGAGAGAAGCAGAGAAGTGAGAGAAGCAAAGTCATTGAGGAGGGTGTCAAGACTAGAACCAGGGAAACTTCACCCTCCTCCTGTCTACTCCCCTCCACCTGGCTGGCTCCACTTCCAACCTGCAACCAAGGGTGTCAGTTGAGGATTTGTGATGATGAACCCCAAATGCTAGTGGTGGGAGGATGGGCTCCGACAACAGTGTGAGAGAGTGTGTGTGTGTGTGTGTAACTAGGAGTTTGTGGGTGTCTGTCCCTGGGGAGCTGTGACACACCCCTTGGAGGCACCTCTCTTCTGGCCTCACATCAAGACTAGAGAGTTGGGCTTATTTTCTTCCAATGGGCAATAGGGTGGCATGGTGTCTGCTTGGGTTGGAATCCCACCACCTACTAGCTGTGGGACATTGGGCAAGTTACTGAACCTCTCTGAGCCTTAATTTCCTCATTTTAAAAATAAGGATAAAGTACATACCTCACAGGCTGTTGTGAGCATTAAATGAATTACTAAAAGTAAAATACTCAGTGTTCGGCACACAGTAAGCACTTACTAAGGGTTAGGTAGTACCGGGCTGTTGGGTCAGGGCTGGAGTAGCTGAGACCCCCTTTCCCGGCACAATTCCAGGACATAAACTCACCCTAATGGGGCAGGCAAGAAAGTGGGGGAGAGAGAAGCTGTGGAGGAGACCCCCTCCTCACGTGGCTTCGCCCCGCAGCCTGTCCCCCAGGGTTTTACAAGTTGTCCTCGCGCCGGCTGCTCTGCTCCCCGTGCCCAGAGCACAGCCGGGCCCTGGAAAACGCCTCCACGTTCTGCGTGTGCCAGGACAGCTACGCGCGCTCGCCCACCGAGCCGCCCTCGGCCTCCTGCACCCGTGAGTGCCCCTCCCGAAAGCGTTCGCGGGGGGCGGGGGGGAAGAGTCCGGAAAGGCCTGGTGGAGGGGTTGCCGAGGGCACGGGGCTCTGCACTGGGGAGCCTGGGGCGCATGGGGACCGGCGACCCAGGCGGCGGGGCGGAGGGAGGGGAGCCTGGGGTGGGGATGGGGGCCGGGGCCTGCGGTTGGAAAAACCAGGACAAGAGTCCCGAGACCGAGGGGTGAGGTGAGGCTTCTTGACTGGTCGTGAGTGGACTGCCCCCCTCCACCCCCGCCGTCACCTCACCCTGCGCCCCAGCCAGGAGGGGGACTCCTGCCCCTTACACTCTGTGCTCCGTCGTGCATCCTCCTCCTCCTCCCCTCACTCCCCTCCTCCCACCTCACCGGCCCCCGCGCCCCCCTCCCTGGCCCCACACCACCCCGGCCCTCCGCCCCCCCCCCCGCCCCTTCTGCCCCTCCCCCTCCACTAGCCCCGCCCCCCGCTGACGGCGCCCCCCGCCCCCCAGGGCCGCCGTCGGCGCCGCGGGACCTACAGTACAGCCTGAGCCGCTCGCCGCTGGCGCTGAGGCTGCGCTGGCTGCCGCCGGCCGACTCGGGCGGCCGCTCGGACGTCACGTACTCGCTGCTGTGCCTGCGCTGCGGCCGCGAGGGCCCGGGGGGCGCGTGCGAGCCGTGCGGGCCGCGCGTGGCCTTCGTGCCGCGCCAGGCGGGGCTGCGGGAGCGCGCCGCCACGCTGCTCCACCTGCGGCCCGGGGCGCGCTACACCGTGCGCGTGGCGGCGCTCAACGGCGTGTCGGGCCCGGCTGCCGCCGCGGGAGCCACCTACGCGCAGGTCACCGTGTCCACGGGGCCCGGGGGTAAGGCCGCCCGCCGCGTCTCTCCGGGAGGCGAGCCCCCCCCAGCAAACATCCCTGACCGCGGGGACCCCCGCCGACGGCCGGCCCTTCCCGGAGGCCCCGGGGGAGGGACTGAGGACGCGGGCGACTCGCTGCCGCTGGGCCAGAGCGGGGGCGGGCGTCTCGGGGGAGGGTCTGCGGGAGCCGGCGGGCGCCCCAGCTCCCGACCTGGCGGAGAGCCCCAGCACCACACTCCCCCAGGGGACAGAGGCGGACAGCCCCGCAGGCTTCTGCCCGCCCTTTTCAAAAATTTCAGCCAGAAGAGCAGAATCGTCCCTCCTCCTCTCCTGTCTCAGAAAGAGGGGTTCTGTCGTGTGTCCCCCAGCCTCCATCCCTGCCGCGTCGGTCACCCTCTTCCCTGGTCTTGGAGAAGAGCAAGGAGGCACAGCAGGGTCAGGCTGTAGGGACGCCAGAAGTCACTGGTCAACCCGTAGCAGTCACATTTCTGAGTCTGGAATCGAGATGAGGAAATGAAGACCTACACTCCTTTCGTGCTACGCCTTCCCCAGTTCCTGAAACTGACTTTTCATTTGTCTCTCGCCCGGCTGGGGTACACCTTCAAGTAATCCTTCAAGTGTCCTTTGCAAGAAGGATAAGTGAGTGGTAGGGTTTCCGGGTCTTTTCTTATCTGAGATGTGATTGGTTTGTGACTCCACTTCCCAGTTTTCTGGCAGCTGTGTTGCGGGGAGGTCTGAGGCCAGGGTGATTTTTATTCTTGTGTAAGTAGCTTGGGCGTGTGTATTTGTATAATTCTTTCACCTACTAGTGAAAATAAAATTTAACCAATATTGATCGCTCTTCATTGAGTTTGGCTGGTACCTAGTAAAACTTTTGCTTTGCACACAGTTTTTTATTCCTGGAAAAGAACTTTTTTTCTGTTACTGTTTTGACTAGAATTTCTGATAGCTCCAATGTCTCTCTAGGAATCTCTCTAAGCCTTAGGTTGTACATCCATTTTCTGATTCTCAAATCTTGTCACACCCTTTATCATTTTTAGCTCTTAATCTATTTTCTCTGCCTTTTGGGAGAGATTTCCAATTTGTCTGGTTTTCTGGAATAACAGTTTTGTTATGTTTTTTACTATCTCTACTGTGACTTAACATTTGCTATTGCATTTACATTAAAAAAAATTCAATATAGAAAAAGAAAAAAGCACCCATAATCCGGTTCACCCAGAGCTATACAACTATTAATATCTTGGAGTATATCCTTCCACATTTTTTTTTTTCTATCTCTATATTCATATCTAGAACGATCTACTATAAAACCCCTTTTGTGTAATATATGTGATAGGAGATTTTTATCTGGTATTTCATATTAACAATCCTGTTTTGATATAGATGGATTTAAAAATCCTGTTGAGGAGATGCTGTTTCCATTTTACTAATAAAAATACTAAGCTTCCACTGATTGAGTGGTGCTCTGTGGTTGGTATTGGCCCTGTGCAGTATGATTTTCTACATTCATTCATTGAAATAGAAGGATAATCATCTTTCAAATAAGGAAACTGAGGCCTGAGAGCATAAGTGATTTGTCCACAGTCACCCAGTTAGTAAGTAGACACCTTGTGCTTTTAGCCACTTGGCCATATAATGCTTTCACTTTTTACTGAACTTAAAAAAAAAATCAGAAATGGATGTTAATTTTATAAAATGCTTCTTAAGCATCTTTCAAGATGACTGCATGTTTTTTCTCCTCTGACCTATTGGCACGATGAATTCTATTCATGGGTTTTTCAATGTGAGCTCTTTTTGCATTCCCAGATTATACCCTACTAGATTTGAGTGTATTATTCTTTTAATACTTTGCTGAATTAATTTGCTTATATTTTACTATTTCTTTCCATGTACATTTACAAGAGAGATTAGTGCTTTTTTTTTTATTGTGTTCTTTGTCAAGTTTTTAGCATTTGTCAAGTTTTGCTGGCTTTGTAAAAGGCATCAAGAAAAATCTCTTCTTTTTCTCTGCTCTGCAACAGTTTAAATACCATAATTATCATTCTCTGAAGGTGTGCAAAATCGCTTTCGGGGCCCTGCACCTTCTTTAGGGGAAAGTTGGATGATATTCTCAACCTTTTCCATACTTTTTGGATCAGTTTTGTTACTTTGTGTTTTCATAGCAAATATTTTGATGATCTTTTTCTTATTCAGTAGCCTAGAAATGTACATTTTAAAACTTTCCTCAGTATCTGTAGTTAACTCTGCTTTTTCATTCTTCATGTTATATGTTTGAGATTTCTTTTTAGTTAATTATCCTTGCCAGAGATTTATTTTACTGGTTATGATAAAGAATCAGTTCTTCAGTTTATCAATTCCAATGTTCTGTACTTTTGTCACTTATTTTATGGTTTTACCTTTATTAATACCATCCTGTTGCTTTCCTGAAGTCTTTTTCTAGGTGAGTTCAGTGCTTAGTTTTGTTTTCATATTTTTTTAAAAGATTTTGTTTATTTATTTGACAGAGAGAGAGAGACAGCGAGAGAGGGAACACAAGCAGGGAGAGTGGGAGAGGGGGAAGCAGGCTTCCCGTGGAGCAGGGAGCCCAATGCGGGGCTTGATCCCAGGACCCTGGGATCATGACCCGAGCCGGAGGCAGACGCTTAACGACTGAGCCACCCAGGTGCCCCAGTTTTGTTTTCGTATTTTAAGCCTATGAATTTTCCTCTGAGTATAAGTTTGGTCACGTCCAGTATGTTTTTATACCTATATATCACATCCTTAGTATAGTCACTTTTTTGAGGAGATATTCACATACCCTAAAATTTCACATACCTTTTAAAGTGTACAGTTCAGTGCTTTTTCATATATTCACATAGTTATGCAACCCACACTGTCTAATTCCAGAACATTCTGATCACCCCCAAAAGAAACCTATTAATAGTTACTCCCCATTCCTCCCACCCCCTCTAGCACCTAGTAACTGCTAATCTACTTTCTGTCTCTATAGATTTGCCTATTCTGGGCATCTCATATACATAGACTTATACAGTATGTTGACTTTTGTGTCTGCCTTTTTTGTTGTTGTTTAGCATAATGTTTTCAAGGTTTGTCCATGTTGTAACGTGTATCAGTACACCATTCCCTTATATGGCTGAGTAATATTCCATTGTATACCACAATTTTGTTTATCCATTCATCAGTTTATGGGCAGTTTTTCTACCTTTTGGCTATTATGAATAACGCTGCTATGAATAGTCATGTACACGATTTTGTAGAGACATGTTTTCAGTTCTCTTGAGTGTATACGTAGGAGTGGAAATGCTAGGTCCCATGATGTTATAGACTGAATTGTGTCTCCCCCAGATTCATAGGTTGAAGCCCTAACCCGCAATGTGACTCTCTTTGGAGATAGGGCCTTTGAGGAAGTAAGGTTAATGAGATCGTAAGGGTGGGGCCCTAAGCCCATAGGACTGGCGTCCTTACAGAAGAGGAAGAGACTCCAGAGCTCCCGTGCTCTCTCTGTGCCTACACAAAAGGAAGCCCAAGACAGGGCACAGCAAGACACAGTTGTCTGCAAGTCAGGAAGAGAGTGCTTACCAGAATACTATAGATACAAATCTGTAAACCTCTCGATCTGGGAGTTCTAGCCTCTAGAACTGTGGAAAAAATTCATCTTTGTTGTTGATGCCTCGGAGTCTGTGGTGTCTCGTTACGGCAGCCGGAGCTGACTAAAACATACAGTAGCTTTTTATCTTCTTGAGGAACCGATGAACTTCTTGTGGGACTGCCAAGCTGTCTTCCAAAGCATCCGTGCCATTTGACATTCCCGCCAGCAATGTACAGGGGCTCCAGTCTCTCCACCTCGGCGCCGAAACCGGTTTGTGTTTTTGTTGGTTACGGCCATCCTGGTGGGTGTGGAGTGGGATCTCACTGTGCTTTGGGTTTGCATCTCCTTAATGACTAGTGACGTTGAACATCTTTTCATGTGCTGGGTTTTCTTTTTGTCATTGAGTTATGAGCTCTCTCTCTCTCTCTCTTTTTTAATATATATATTCTGGATATTAGGCCTTGGTATTTTTCTAAGTTTTCTAAGGCCTTTCTAGTTTTCTTTTTCTTTTTTTTTTTTTTTTTTTAAGATTTTATTTATTTATTTGACAGAGAGAGACACAGTGAGAGAAGGAACACAAGCAGAGGGAGTGGGAGAGGGAGAAGCAGGCTTCCCGCCGAGCAGGGAGCCCGATGCGGGGCTCGATCCCAGGACGCTGGGATCATGACCTGAGCCGAAGGCAGAGGCTTAACGACTGAGCCACCCAGGCGCCCGGCCTTTCTAGTTCTCTAAGACTGCTGTCACAGTACCAAATATCAGATGGCTTCAGACCAAAGCAATGTGCAGTCTCCCACTTGCTGAAGCTGCAAGTCTGAAATCAAGGTGGCAGCCGAGCAGAGAGCTCTCCCACTGTTCCGGGGGAGGATCCTCCCTTGCTTCTAGCCTCCCGTCTTTGCTGGCAGTCCGTCCTCCTCCTTGGCGTGTAGATGCAGGTTCCAGTCACATGGCCTCTTCTCCCTGTGGGTCTTCATATTGTCTCCCCTCCGTGAGTGTCTGCCTCCGTGTCCAAATCTCCCCTTTTCAGAAGGACATACTGGACGAGGGCCCCCTTGAGAGTGTGCTCTCTCTCCCTATCTCTGTGTCTCTCTCAAATAAATAAATAAAATCTTAAAAAAAAAAGATTTTATTTATTTAAGGGAAGCGGGGAGAGAGAGCACAAGCCGGGAGGAGAGGGAGAAGCAGGCTTCCCGTGGAGCAGGGAGCCCGACGCGGGGCTCGATCCCAGGACCCTGGGATCATGACCTGAGCCGAAGGCAGAGGCTTCGCTGACTGAGCCACCCAGGCGCCCCACAACATGGTATTGTTAACTGGAGTCACCGTGCCGTACATTGCGCCCCAGGACTTACTTGTTTTATAACTGGAAATTTGAACCTTTTGCCCACCTTCCCCCGTTGTGCCCGCCCCCCAGTCATGCT